ACCCAACTCCTAAACAAGAAAAAAGCAAGTAGAATAGCAAGGAAAACAGCCACGACCAAAGATATTTGACCACATTTCTTCCATTTCTCTAGCTTCGCAGCATACACTATTGTCATTGTTGCCAACATTTGCAAATCATTAACTTTCTTCTCTAATGCCTCAATCTGTTGCTCTCCTTTTTCTTCATAACGCTTCAAAACATTCCTAAGAGCTTTGATCCTTTCCCTTGCATCATCCAAATAAGTTTCCAATTCTGTCTTATTGTTGTGCAGCCACGAGATAACCTCCTTAGCCCTAAAAGAGAAATCTTGATCATACCACACAAAATACTTACACTGTCGCTTTTTATTCTGCAAATGTCCAAAAATCACATTTCATTAACAATTAACAATTAATCAAAACCCAATCTTTATGCCAAGCAAAACCCTAAACATTACCACACAATACCTGCGAAATATCTTAACAAAAAAACCCCTAAACAACACACTAGTTTAAAATCAAACATTAGGGAAGAAATTACCATGGGATCATAGATTGGGCATCCAAAAAACCTTCGACCAAGATTCTTTTCGCTCCAAGACATGATCCTTGGAGCCTTCAAACCACAAAAGCAAAACCGACTTGGCCCCTCGTAATCATACTCCTGTCTTCCAAATTCCACCGGTGCTGAAGTGTGAGAGCTGCTGGAGCTAGGCATTGAACAAGTAAATGAAATGGGCGTGAATCTGAAGATCAGAGAAGAGAAGGAAACTCGAAACTCTTTGTGCCCTAGGGATCATTTAAATAGATTTCTTTGCATTCATCTGTCTTTTTCTTTTTTTTTTTCAAACCTTTAGTCAGCGGTGGGACCCACAAAAAAATTGGCAGCAGGTAAACTTCCCGCTCGTGGGGTTCCAAGTTGGCATGCCAGGTTGTCAAAAAATTCTGAGTTGGCGCTGACATCCGCATACTTGACGAAAGCCAACGGTGCACGTGCTACACGTGACGTTCCGGTGTTAAATTTTACCTCATTTCCTCAACTCGAAAACATTGAGGGTAAAAATCCATGTATTGTAATATGGAGGGTAAAAATCCTACAAGTCGAAAAGTTCAGGGGCAAAATGGTACCTTTTGCCGAAAAACTTAACGCCGAATTTGAATGGTGGAATTTGGAGGGGAAAAGAAGGA